GGGATGTAAGATACAAAAAACCTGAAAGCTACTGCCCTAGGCAACCACCTTGAATATTCATTAGGAAACAGCTGTTTTTTAAAGGAAGCGGTTTCTAGCTTTTGAGGTGGCATAGCTAACTTGGAAAATATGATTATAACCAGCAAACTTTCTTAAATGCAGATAAAAGCCCTGTTTCTCTATGTGCATGCTAAATGTACATAAAATGGAGTGGAATTGTGCCCACTGGCCCTGCCCCCCCCCAAACCACCAATGGAAATTTCTGTGAATGGAAATCGTTTCTATCCATGGAAGGTAGCTTTCTTGTCTCCACTATCTTGGTCCCAAATGCCTCACAAAATGTTGTTGGGGGGCAGACAGACCCCCAGTAACAGCATTGGGGGAATTGTGTGCCAAGAGCTGGAGAGGGTTCAGGAAAATGTCCCCAGTTCTGCCTGCATAACTATTCTATGAAATTTCATTTATTTATTTGCTTGGATTTGTACCCCACCCTCCCTGCCAAGGCAGGCTCAGGGAGCCTGGAAGCAGAAAGTTTTAAAAATGGATCGTGACTACAATTTATAGTACATTAATTACAGATCTCTTTGGCAAAATTAACATTTCTTACCTCAAAGAGTCGCTGGTCAGCATCATCAAAAGGTTTCCCATCAAGCCTGTTCAACACTTGGGCTACCCCTATAGAAAGAGTTGCTAAATGTAGTTCATGTTATAAATTCATTTATGACACCTGATGCCGTGTTAGTTATTAGCATATTTACTGAAGCTGTTCATGATTCAGTTCAATCGAACAGGGCTAAATACTAGTATATAATAATAACGTATAATGGTGCTTTATTCGTTATCACCTGTCATAAATCCTTTATGATATGAGTGGCAAACTCAAGACCTTATACATAATGGCTTACAGTCAGTGATGCACAGGCAGGAATATCAGTGAACCTTATGCAGTTCCACTTGCACAGGATCTTGTGCAATATCTACCACTTTCTTCCCCACATATTTCTGGTATTTCTGGCCACTGTGTGACACAGAGTGTTGGACTGGATGGGCCTTTGGCCTGATCCACCATTGGCGTCTCTTATGTTCTTATTATAGTGCCCAGAATTTAATTGCACAAGATCTTGCAGAAGCAGAAATGCAAGTGGGGAATACAATAAGTCTGACTTAGCCCAAGTGACTACTGTGGTCTTTTTTTTGCATTTTCACTTCTGCAAGAGCTCTAGCCCAAGTGGAAATTATGCGCTGGATCCAACCCACTGCATACAGCTCACTGTAATACAGATTACTAAAAATAAGCTTTGTGGAAAATATCACAACAGTTAACATGGGCAAAGAGGCAATCAGAAAAACCAATGCATGCGTGCTTGCAAGGAAATACAAGCTAATCTTTCTTCTCTCACACATTGCACAGATATTATGACTGGGAGTCTTTGGGCAGGGTCTTCTCTTTTTTAAATGTTAAATGCAGTGCTCAGTTTAGGAGCTACCCTTACTCCTGTGAACTTCTATGTCCACATGAATTATTGCTGAGCAAAGTTTGACCAACCAAGTTTTATTTGAAGTATGAGCTTTCATGTGCATGCACACTTCATACGAAAGCTCATACCTCGAATAAACCTTGGTTGGTCTTAAAGGTGCCCCTGAACTCAAACTCGGTTTTATTGCTTCAGACCAACATGGCTGTCCACCTGGATCTATGAACGACTGTTGTTAACAAGATTGCATCTCTTTTTTTTCTCGCACCATCAACTCATTAGTTGTTGTATATTTTCCCATCTTGGCATTGTAGGACCTGACATTTTGCCGGCAGCTGTGACTGGCATCCTCAGAGGTATAACACAGAAAGATGGAGTACTCTCTGTGTCAATGTGAGAAGAAAAATGGTAGGCAGGTAATTTATATCTACTCAGGAAGGTGGGGTAGGGCTGAGTCATTATCTTGTAGGAGTTTCCCAGGCCGTGACATGCTAATAAAGGAGCTTTCCTGAGGAGGTTCTTTTGCATATGGATTGGCTGTTGAAATTCTAATCTTATCTGTCGTGCTGTTGTAAGTTGTAAAGCATTTTGTGTTTCATTGTGTTTCATTGACAAAGCAAACCTTTACTCATCAGTGAGTGATAGCTTACCAATTATTTGGTGGCTGCTGTTCCATATAGGGACACAGAGAACAGATCTTATATGAAAGCCAGAAATTTGGTCAGCCTAGAACATAAGAAACAAAAACTATCATAATGTATAGCATATGTCATAGCAGTCCTTCAACAGGTATAGCAATTAATATGTCCCAAAAGTCAGACTGTTGCAAACCAAATGAAATGCCAAGTATGTAACTGCATACAGAACAGTGTTATTTCCATTCTTGAACTCAGAGGGTTCATCTCTAAAACCCTGTTTATGTACATGTGAGAAATTCTTCAAACTCATATGAACATCACAATCAAGGGCCTGTTCATTTGTTTCTCATGGACATCTACAGCCTCAGGCTAACGGTCTGTAACTTTAAGTATATCCATGGAATTGGTATCTGATTTGCTAGCATGTTTAGCCCCAAAGTTATTTGGAAGTCTGTCCAAGGCTAACTGTCCAAAACCACAATGTTTTCAAAAATCATTTTGTTCATAGGTTATCCCGGGAGTTAAAAATTTCAATAACTGTGCCGGTCAGCTCGAAAGAGAAGTCTACTTGAAATTACAGCAAGCCAAAATAAACAGAAGTCTTATTACATTTTATAAATTAATACAATGTTATACTAGCAGACACTTTTGAAGTCTAGCGCCATTATGCAATGAATGGATCCTCACTCAAACATAAACAGTGTGGTTAAAGCGCCATGTAGGGCAGGAAGTACAGGGGGAAATATAAGCATCAAAATAAAATCGTTTTAGTCTTCAAAGCTTCACGAGACTCCTGTTTATTCTTGCTGTGACACAATTAGCTCCCTAGAATTACAGAATGTCATTGGTGCAAGTCCGGGACTGCAATGAAACTTTGGGTGGAGTCCTTTCCAGAAAAGAAATCTAAGGTGTAAAATATCCATGTGCTCTTTGATTTTAGCTGCAAAGACATCGGAGTACTTTTAAAAGACTTCAATACTGATCGCTTATCTGAATTAACTGGCTTGGAATAACATTTATCCTTTTCACTCCTGAGATAACGAAGAAAGGTATGACTAACAGGTAAATAGCATAATATCAAGGATGTGCTATAGATAAAAGAAGGTTAATCAGTCCGTTAAAAGGAAAGACTGTCTTATTGGTTTTACTATCCATGTTGTGTGTAGCGCAGAAATAGCTTTTTGGTTTCCAATTCTATTCTGGTTTTAAAAGCCACAACATGAAGTAGAAAGATTTCATTTTTATGGATACGATCTTGAACACAGTTAGGGAGGATGCCTCAGTCTTTTTTGGGGGGGGATGGGAAGAACAGGCTTTTTCCATGGCTTCAAAATTTCTGGAAATGTTACATCTCTAAGCAGTCCAGGGAGTGTGCAGTTTGGGCCATTGGGGAAACCCACGAGTACACTTGTTGGTTTCCCCAACAGACCAAATAGCACCCTCGTGGACCACTTCAGGTCAGGGAAAATGGTGTGTTGGAGGATAAGGCTGCAGCCCATTCTCCACATGTGCAACAGTCACAGTCTGAAATGGGCACTCGGCACAGGGGAACTGACTGTGACACAGAGTGGGGACCCACTAGGGATCCCAAGTCCCCCCAGGGGCCGGGAAACCCCTGCCCCAGAGGCTCGTTCCCCGGCGCCACCGGATCGGGCCCCGGGGGGAACTCCTCCCCGATGTGCGCGTCACCCAGAAGTGACGCGGGCACGCTGGGGGCGGGGCCACGGCCATACAAGAGAAAACTCTATGGTTTTCCCTTGTATGGTCGTGCCCCCCCCCCCGCCACGCCCGGCATCATAACGCCACTTCCTGGTGACGTATGTGCGGCACGCGCTTTGCACGCGCTCCGGGATCCACCCAGGAGTCCCCCGCCGCCAAGGTAAGTTCCACTTGGCAACCCTAGGACCCGCAACCCAATCTGTGTTTTCCACAATACATGAATTCCACCCCTCCATTCCCCACCTAACCTGACTCACAGAGGGGGGGAAATGGAAGCAGCTAGAGATGGAATAGAATGTCTTGGGTCCTATGTTCCACTCCACTAACGGCAGAGACCAATGCTCCCTCTAAACTGTGGAGTCTTGTGAACAAAAATTCTACTTTGTGAGCTACTGGCATTGAAGTTGTGAGCGAGCAATTTGGCTACTGCATAAATTAGTTTGCTCTGGAGCCATCCTTCCTGAGCTAAGAAAAAAAATGTGTTACCCCGAGGCTAAAAACTGTGAGCTAGCTCACACTAACTCAGCTTAGAGGGAACACTGGCAGAGACTTCTGCTGATGGAAGGAGCCTTCCTGCAGCGGGAGAGGTACATTTTGCCAGCAGAAGGCTTTTCATGCCTGTGCTGTGGATGCAAACAGCAAAATGGATCCATAGGATCCAGACCCCTGTATATCAGCCTGAGTTCTTCCAAAGAAAAGCAGGATTAAAAAAATCTAATAAAATACATGAACAAACAAACATGTACGTTCCTTATAAGCAGAGGTCATTTCGGGG